TGGCCTCGAACTCATGGTGATCCTCCTGCCTCAGCCTCCCAAGTGCTGGGATTACAGGCATGCGCCACCACGCCTGGCTCTGCTGCTGTTTTTAATAACTCTTCTCCTTCCATGCTACCTGGCACCCCAAGCCCTGTCACTTCCTGCCTCTGTGGCTGTGCTTAGCAAATTTCAAAGACTGACAGTGCTAATACTTGAGATTTGTCCTAAAAATGGCCCATGTGCATCCCAGATACCTGGATAGGGGGAGCCTTGTACCTGATGGCTGAGGAGGAAGCTAGGTCTAAAGCACAGCTACCATGCACGGAATGTACTCTAGAATGGGGCTCCAGGACCGACTTGGCTGATACTTACTCCAACCTTATAGAGCCCTCCGAGGAAGTGTTGTCAAAGAGCCACCGGAAGAAAAAATCCAGGCTGAAAAGCAAGTATATCTTGTAAGAACTGCTTCCTTTTCTATCTTCCCGGAGCTTCCCTCCTCACTTCTTTACTTCTGTGGTGATGGGGATGGAACCAAGGGGTTTGGCAATGGTTGGAAAGTGCTCTGTCAATGGACCTGGACATCAGGCTCAAAGAGTATTTTTCAAATACTATATGTGATCAAAACTCAATTTCATTTTGCACCACTATAAAAAGAGGCTGAATTTTGAAATCTACCATTGTTTTCTCTGATGCCACTTACACAGTGTGACACATAGGCAGCTTTTAGGGAAACTCTCCTCCTTGAGTTAAACACAGCAATGATTAGAATCTACCAATGTGTGTGTGTGTGTGTGTGTGTGTGTGCGCGCGCATGCATATACATGTGTGAGCGGGTGTGGTCACTATTAAGTTTGTGTGTAAGCTAACCCTTCACCCCAAGAAAGATCATATTTCCAGAAGAATCAATGGGCCAGCACAACTGCACTCCAACTGGTTACTACAGGCCCAAGAGTTGTTTCCAAATCCGTTTCCATTCCCCTGGTAGCAGTACTCTACAGATGTAGCCCTGATTCTGAGCTTAGGGCAGGAGATGGTGGGATATACCTGGTGAGGCCAAGGGAGGGCAGGATCAGCACCATGAAGATCAAGAATATGTAGACCTTGGTCATCATGTTCCAGTTTTCCCCCGACCTGCAGGAAACCAGAGGTCAGCACTCACTCCAAATGCTCCAGGTGCCTCAGTGAGGCCTGCCTTGCGCCCAGTGCCCCAGCTGTCGTCCAGAGTCCCCCACAGGGAGACCTTGAGACTCCGCACTCACTTGGTCCAGTAAGAATCCAGCAGCGTCGAGTAGTAGACAATGGTGGGGAGCAGGGCTGAGAAGGACCAGAGGAGGAGGGTTGGGAAGAACTGGCTGATGATTGGGTTCTGGAAGACAAGGCCCAGCAGAGAGAGTGGGAGGGTCTGTGCAGCGTGGCACTGAGGCCATGGCCTGATGGGTCAGGGCTCAGTGGGCTCCAGGAGTAGATTCTGGTCTTCCTCCCAGCATTGTGTGGGCACAGACCTCAAATGGTGGCTGAATAAACAATAGCACTTGATAGTACTATATAGCTCTGTAGACCAAACAAAGAACTTTCAGGTACAGTGGAGCTCCACTTATGTGACAGACCAGATTAGGCAAGAGTTTTCATTTCCTATAGAAAACCAATGGCTAACACGCAGGGTTAACTGAGTGCTTTGGCCAGGCTCCTCTCTAGGACACTAGGCCAGCTGTAGCTTACTGGGACTCTGTGGTCAATCCCAATCTGTATATGCTAGTTCCAGTTGATATTGTCATTTTGTGACTTGATTAACTTATTTTCACTGATTAAGTGAACATAACAATATATTCTCTTTGAAAACTACATTGGGGCTGGAGGTAGCTCTGTGGCAGACATGCCTAGCATGTTTACGGCCCTAGGTTTGATGTCAAGCACCACAAAACAAAACATAAAACACAAAAAACAAAAACCACAGACTCTACCACTGAGCTCCCCTGACCCCCGGGCTAAATTCCTGCTTTGCTTCAGAGAAGAACAAACTGGAGTCACAAATAAAAAATAAGAATGTAGCTCATATAAAACAGATAGAGGGGAACTAAGAAGCAGACCTCTTCCCTATATCAAAAGACTGATTCAGTGGTGCAAGTTTGGAATCCCAGTACTCTGTGAGGATTAGGTAGGAGAACTGCAAGTCTGAGTCTAGCCCAGGGCACTTAGAGACTTTGGGAGATCCCATCTCACAGTGAAGAATAAGGAGTGTTAAAGATGTAGCTCAGGGGCTGGGGATTTAGCTCAGCAGCGCAGTGCCTGCCTGGCAAGCGCGAGGTCGTGAGTTCTACTCCCAGTGCCGGAAAAAAAAAGATGCAGCTCAGTGCAAAGGCCCTTGGTTCAACCCCTAATACTGGGGGCGGGGGAGAAGTGGCACAGAAATGATGGCATTCTTGCTGCAAATTGAAACCTCACTGATAATGCCTACTTTTGTAGTTTTTTACTATATATCAAGTCAGATAAGAGCATCAACTATACACTAGCTCCTCTGCCATCTCAATGACCTGAGGGGTGTCATGTGGCAGGTGTTCTAACTCCAGTTCTGGGATGAAAACTGAGGCTCAGAATTCATCAGTCAGGACCTGGGCCGCAGGGCTCCCACCCAGGGTACCTTGCTGGAGGATCATTAACAAAGTGCCAAGTGTAAGAGGAAAGAATAATAGATTCACAGAAGTTTCTCAACAAGCTTACAAAGAGAAACCAATGTCTCTTGCTACAGATGCTCATTTAGGGAGGTTTAGCTCTTATCTCCTTGATTCATATTAGCTTGTTTAGTTCTGTTTCGGAAATGGAGTCTTGCTGTGTTGTGTAGAACTCCTAGGCTCAAGTGATGACCAGCCTCCCGAGTAGCAGGGATTATAAGAGCACGCCACCACACCCAGCCTTCTAAGGTGCTTTGAAAACCATCCATCATTATTTATGTACAATAAATGAGTGTGTAAGAAGATTATCAGAAAATGAAATGCAAATGAAATCATTCATGCCACCCCAATCAAGAAAAATCTTCTCATTCTTTCCCATCCCTTCTCCCTAGTATCTAACATACACATGTCATTGGCATGTCACTAGATCCACTGCTCAGAGGCCATTTTCTATCATGATATAATTATAAACCCCTCATGTCTGTCACAGTGTATGAAATGTTTAATATATGCTTAACATTCTATCAGACTAAAATATCTCATTCATCTCAAAAGATCTCTCCTTTTTAGTTTGATTCCATCCAATGAGAAGGTATGTATTGCATTGCTCTAAGGCATGGTAATAAACATGACCACGCTTTCCTCTGCCTTAGAAGTGCAGACCTGAGCTGAGTGCTTGGGCTTTCTGTTTCAGCACCCTACAGGCCTTGGCCCTGGTTCCTCCCCAGTCACCATGCCTTCTTCCTACCAGCGTCACTCACGTTCAGTGCATGGATGGGCTTGGTGACATTGAACTTGTCTATGGTGGACAGGATGATGGAGGGTGTGGTCAGGAAGAAGAGCACCATGAAGAGGGTGAAGTTGATGCTGAGCCACTGTAACCACCAGCGGAGGCCCTGGACAGAGAGGTTCTTCCTGCAGAGGGAACACGGTCCAGAAGCTTCTGTCCCTGGTGCAGGCCACCAGCACCAGCTGTACTCTAGCTGAGGTGGTCATGTCTGGTTCAGGCAAGCCAGAAGTCTTGCCTAGGGCTCTGGTTGGGGTTCATGTAGGCCTTAGAAGGAAAGGCACGTCCTCGGCACTGACTTTCAGCTACCATAAGTCCAACATCCAGGTCGTAGCCACAGCCCAGCACAGAGCCTCCCCACAGAGATGTCATGAGCACCAAACTGAACAGAAAGCTCCTGCACAGCATTTCCTGGACATCTGTGGTGCCTCACAGCACCTTCCTCCCAGTGGGCCATGGGCTAGGGTCAGTGGGGAGGCAGGCAGGGATAGTGGGACATGAGCATGGCTAGACCCAGCCTTGGCCCTGCATTCCCACCTGGAACAGATCCACACATCAGTCCCATGCTTGGGATACCCTGCGAAGCAGTGAACAAAGCAGTCAGGGCTGAGCTCGAATTCAGTGGAGAGGAACACCAAAACTCATCTGTGCGGACAGCTGAGGCAGCCCAGGCAGGCCGACATGCCCCAACCTCACCCATGCCCCAGACACAGCTCAGAGCACTGGTAGGTCCCCAGCCTGCCCTAAGGCCATGCTGTCCAATACGGCAGGCAAAAGCACAGGTGGCCATTGAGCACGTGGGACATGGCTGTTACACCTAGAAGCTGGTGGAAGATTTTGAAGACTAAGTATGAAAAGAAGAATGTGGCTGGGGATGTGGCTTGGTGCTGAGCACCTACTTGGCTTGTGTTCCATCCCCATACCACCAAGACAAAAGAGTCCATGCTGACATGTTAAAATTGAGATATTATTAAAATTCCTTTCAGTCATTTCCTTTTCTTTGGTATCAGCGCTATGAGGAAATAGAAGTGGTATATGCCCACCCCCCCAGCCCACCCCAGTTTCTGCTGGACAGCGCTGCCTGGTGAGTAACACACCGAGAAGCTCAGAGCACCCCCAGGCTGGCCCAGAAGACCCCAGGAGCTCTGTGGAGATTTTCACTGAATGTCAAATTACAGCTGGTCTCCAGGGGACAGTCAGCCTCTCCAGGAGCCAGGCCACCCTCCACCCTGCCCAGACAGGCCCTCACCAGCAGATGTCCTGGGGGTAAGCAGCCAAGGTGACACTCCACCTGGAGACCTGGAGCTCTCTGCTGTAGGAGGACGGCTGGGGCTCACCTTTGCACTGAAGGCTCTGACACTTGCAGGCTCTGAAATCCTTCAGGATGCTGCCAGGAAATGCAGAGAGGAGAAGTGAGAGGCTGGTTCTGCTGCAGCACTGTGCATAGGAATGGCACAGGCAGGGAAAGTGGAGCCTTGGCTTTGCTGCTCCTTTTACAAAGCTGATCTCGTGGAGGAGAGGTCATGCTCGGCTCACTATGGCCAGACTGTGCTTCACGCCCCCATCCCCACGAGCATTTCATATCTCTGCAGGCTCAGCAACCACGCTGTGTATCAGTCTGTCTGCCTCCAGCTCCCAACTGTGTGCGTGTGACACACAGCTCCTTGAATCCACCCCATGAGGCTGCTGTGACAATCTTTCTTTTCCCAGCCATGACCTGGGCTTCACCCCACAGAACTCAAGGCCCTGGAGCACTAATGAGTGCTAACATGGGGTCTTAGGCACATACGGATGTCCACAATGAAACCTTGGAGCACCCGTGAGCCCCCACTGTGAGGCTCTGGAGCACCCATGGGCCCCCGCAGTGAAGACTTGAGTCACCTATGGGCCTCCACTTTGAGGCCCCGACATCAGCTGGTCTCCACAGTGAGGCTCAGGAATACCCACGTGCACCCAGAGCGAAACTCTGCAGCACCCATGTGCTCCCACAGTGTTGCCCTGGAACACCCTTGGGCCCCACACAGTGAAGCTCAGGAACACCCATGGGTCTACACAGTGTGGCCCAGGAGTACACTTATGTCCCCTAGTAGGTCCAGGACCACCTGTTGTCCCACCGCAGTGAGGCTGTTAGGGGCTCCCATAGTGAGCCTTGTCCCTTAGAGTCACCCACATGCTGAGCTCCCTGTGGAGTGAGGGCAATACTATGTCTACCCATGGACACAGGCAATGATCCACATGGTGAGAGTTAGGTGAGAGGCTGGGCAGGCTCCACTCACTAGGTGGCCATAGACTTCTCTCGGAAAGTGACGAAGGCCATTCCCAGGGGCTGGTCCTGGACCTGGCACTCTTCCTCCGTGATTCTCTCCAGCAGCTGGTTGTACAGGCGCATGTAGTAGGCGATGGCATCCTCCTGTCAGGAGACACAGCCTGTGAGAGACATAGCCCTATGGGTCAGGGAACCTGTACCAGGCCTTGCTGCTTACCCGCTCACAGCCCCACATTTCGCAGCAGCAGAACTGGCCACAGGGCTTGGGGTTGACGAGG